GTACACAGCGTGGGGAAGAGCAAAACAGCCATGAGAAACAAATGTGAAGCGTGGAAACAAACGTGTATCTTCCAATTAAACATGAATCAATATATATTTTATTTTGTATCAAGAGTAAAAGCAATCAAATAAGGGAGTGTGTGATGAGTTCGCATACATGATATGTAATAAAAAACTATGTTACGGGGAAATACTTTTACAGGCAAACCTAAAAAGTTAATAAAAAAAAAATTAAATAATTATAAAGTTTGTTTCTAACAGTTTCCTTCGTCATGTGGCAACCTTAATATTACCCTGTTCAGGTTATAATTATGATTAAATAAACAAACCCGATCGGAACTAACTTGCTGGTTTCGTAATTAAGTAAATATGAAGTTAAGTTTTTTAAAAAGTGAAAACACTTAAAAATTTTTTACATTCGAAAATTTAAATTTATTAAATTTCCATATTTATAAGTTATAATAAATATTTAGCATCGTACACTTTCCTTTCCTCATAAGCTCACTCGGCAATTCAATTCATTTTGCGGCACTGTGCGCTTAGCCTAAGTTAAATACATGACTCTGTAAATGGTTTGGCATTGATGATGAATTACAAGACTTTTGTCGCGCACTGCATTAAATTTTTGCACGTCTAAATATAAAGAAAATAACAATGCTTTAAACGGAGTAAAAAAGTTTAAGAATTTTTGCTTGTTGCAACGTTTAAGCGTAGATGGCTACGAGTAGTGATAAAAGTGATAGTTGTGTGTCGGATATAATTAAATGAAACTGAGTAAAATTATATCAAAGACAGCTTCATATAAATAAAATAAAAAATATAAAAAAAAATTTTATTTATTTTTAGAATTAATGTAGAAATCCACTTTATCATTGGAAGATTTCAAAGCTGTCTCTTATACACATAATAATAATTTTAAAAATTAGCATCTTTATAAATAAATATACATATGTACATAAATCACAAATAATAACGAAAAAATTGTTTATTGTTACGTAAAAGATCAAAAAAAAAAAAAAAACATAGCAACAGCTGCTAAGTAATATATTGTAAGTAATTGCATTCACTAATTTAAATTTTACATCAATATGCATACAAATACATATATAAACTTCATACAGCACTCAGCTGCATATGCATGTTTTCGGCACTGCAACGAGTACGCCGACGTTCGCAGTAAAAGCAAACACTGGCTGCCTAACTGGTTAGTTAACTAAAGTTAATAAATACACGGATACATATACACACACATATACATATGTACGTATATACGTACAATACAAAAAATACTAAAAATGTAAAATGTACGAGCGTTTGGAGCTTCACAGCTGTAAAACCATGGAAAAATATGCAATATGTTAAGGTTGTTAAAAAGCCGGCAAACAGGCAAGCAAACCATAGACTAGCAACAACTCAAAGAGCACTACTCTTAAGTGTGCATCGTTCAATGAATTGAAAAATTGATTATGCGATAATTACATTGTACATGCGAATCAACGTAGACACACCGTACTCTACAATAGTTGCACTCAAAGCCACACTATATGCATGTATGCGTGTAATTAAAAGTAATACACATCAAATTGGATGCACACACCCACCGCGTCTATCGCTAATTTCTTTCTCACTAACTGAATTTAAATTTTGTTGATTTATAAGCATATTCAAGTATCAGCTGATACGCGGCAAGCAGTCAGACGTGAACACCGTCAGCCAGTAAAATTCAGCAGCCTGAATTACTTAATGCTCAACTATCTTATGGCCGACGTCAAAAGCGAGTTGCGAGAAACTGCCATACTTTTATTTGCCTTGCGGTTCAAAGTACTTTGCGTTCGAATATAAAAGCAAAAGCGTTTTCTGTTAATTAGATGCAAATAAATTTTGCATAGCGTGGCTTGTCTATTCACGTTTATTTTAATAAATATTTTGTTGTTTTTTTTCATTTTTAAAACATTTCAAATACAAGTCGCTGCAGTTCAGCCCTAATATTTCGAAACTAAACTAAGTGGTTTCGAATTGCAGGTCTGGGTTTCGTGCTAATAAATACTAAAATATGTATATCAGATTCATTCAGCATAACATAGGACATAGCAATATTAGTTTCATTTATTTAACTAATATTGCTATTTGTACTATCCATATAATTATGCGATCCAGATATAGATATTTTAATGATCAATAGAGAAAATATTACTTACAACACTGTAAATGCGATTTCTGATAAGACTATTTTGCTTGCCACTGTTATCTAATATTAAAATTTAAAGTATGCGATAGAGATAAGATAATAGCAATTGAAAAGTTAAGTTTAATCAAAAGCAACACATTTCTATAGAAACGTTTATAAATATTATTAAAAGAGGAAAATCAAATTAAAAACATGTTTATATGGCATCATAGGTATATACATAGGTACACATGAGAAACTGCAGATGTTTGGGAGTATTTCCTGTACGTATGCACTCGCCAAACCATTTAGTCATAAATTTATGATGACGCATAAGTTAAGACTAAACACAACAATAACAGAGAAATTGTTTTTATGTACATCTTTATGAATAGAACAAGAAATATTATAAAATTTATTAAATTTATAAATTTATAAAAGTTGACATATTTATCCAGACTAACCTGTGTGTCGTTCAGAATCTCCAAGTGTTCACCCTTACGGAAACTCAAATCCTCATCTGTGCGTGCGTCGTAATCATACAAAGCTACAAATATTTTAGCATTTGCATTCGAAATTTCATTTTCTGGTATTTGCGGTACTTGGCGTATTTGCTCCTGCTGTTGTACAACGCGAATTTGATCCGCCGGCTGACTGCCAACACCATCCACATTGGGCACATTAGGCGCGCACTCAATGCTTTTGGGAATATCCGGTTTCTCGGAACTCAAGCAGTTGCCCATTTTGGTACAACGGTAACAACGATTACGCCACTTAAAAAACAAAAACCAAAATTATACGGCCGCACCAAAGGAATGCTGCACTGGTGTACTCAATGGTGAGGGAATTTATCAGCACTCTACCGCTTGCGGTGTTAATTGATTGATGTTGAGTATGGTTTGTTTACCAAACAATGCACTGCAATACTCGTTTAGCGTTGTTAAGTTGACTACGTTGTTGTTACTGTTGTCTTATTGCTGCGTTGTCTGTTGAATTGGGGTGTTGGCTTTGTATAGATAATTGCTCAAGTTGCTTTACAATTTTCAATTTCTCCAAGTATAATTTTATGAGTTGCACACACTAAACTTATAAAACATTTAAATTATTTGCACTTTTTTGTTTTGCTTCAGACACGGTTGAAGATATTTCTCACAGAAGTATATATTTTATATCAATTTTATGTATATATAGTATATTTATATATATACGTAAGTATGTTTGAAGTTGTGCACTGAATTTCTTTTAAATAACGAAATGCTAAAAGGGACGCGACATTACGCGAGGAGAGAAACACTTCAATCGAATGCAAAAAAAAAAAAAAATTTTAAAGATAGATATTCGAATCTGTTTCTTGATTCACTAGCAATTATTTTTCATCATTTTTTTAATTTTAATTTTATCCCTTTTTATATTGCTATCACTATCTGATTTGAGAAAAGTAGCAGCCGCGCGAGCGTACGTGTTGACTTCTTCAATCACAAATTTTTCCTCACATTTTACCACCAAAAGAGAATGTCAAAGCCCAAAGAGTCAACGTTGGAAAGAAGAAGTACCATCTAATTTACAATAGAGGACATGAATGAATTTTGACAATTGATTGTGGTCTGTCACACCAATTACAAACAATTTTAATTCACAATAGTTCACAATGCAAAATCTTGTGCATTATCAAAGACAATTAAAAAGGAAACTGAAAACGTGAGAGTAGAAAACAAGATAAAAAGCAATAGACAAAGTTTGCCAAACAACAAGGGAATGAAAAGAGAAAAGCAATTAAACAATTATTATATGAAATCCGGCAGATATTTATTAAATAATAATTATTTTTAATAATAATTGTTTTTTATGCATGGGATTGTGCATTGTCCATAAGACACTACTTTTTTGTCATATTCAAATTCTTGCAAAACCAGTCAATTCATGTGCGAATAACGAAGGTAACGCAAAAAAATAGACACTCCAACTCACAATCAGGAATTCTACCGTATTTTTGATAGTTTGATTTTTTATTTACTTTTCTCTTTTAAGCTTGCGTTCGTACGCTGTACCCACACTTCATCTTCGCAGACAAAATTATCCTCTTTTCGCTGCGGCCACTACTTTTCGCACTATTGTTTTTTATTTTACCTTAATATTGGCTGCCCGAAACTATTAACGACACAATTTAATTCACTTTTTTACAGAAAAAATACGGATTTTTATCCATTTCAGTAAAATATTCACGACTACGAGCAACAAACGAGAACGACACGAACAACACAGCGACAGAGTGATGCCAGATATTATGAGAATAGGAAAAAGAGAAAACGAAACAAATGAATAATTCGCAATAATCTAAAAATTAAAAAATTATCCAAGCCTAATAATTATATTAATTTGTTTATACATTTAAAGTTCAAAGTCAAATTTTAATTGTCTGATAACAAAAATATTTAAAACCATTCATTAATTCTTCATTCCTTTGAGGTTTCCTATGTATTCATAAATGTATTGAGGACATTCCCAAAATGCTGCATGCGGGGAAGTCAGTTCTTTAAAAACATGATGTTGTTGTTGTAACGGCAGAAATTCTGGCGAGTCGACAGTCCTTGACCGGTTAAAAATCCGGGTCCGTTCCGGTTTTTGTAGACCCGACTGTCGTGGGAACGGTTAAAAACATGATCGAAACAAGTGCTTTATATAAGTACGATTTTATGCCACAACGACATAAAAAAATCTTGAAAATATCTAAAAATTTCCTTTAATTTTCAAACACTTAGTGTCCGCATTATTAACAATTTTCAATTTTATTTTCAACAATTGTTAAATATTAATCTTACAAACAATTATTTTCTATTTATCCTTAAATTAAACTTATTTCATTAGTCAAAACGTCATTCTCATTTTAAAAAGGATTCAACTAAAATATAAGCCCAAATAGAAAAAAAAAAAACAACGAAATAATCTACCATTTGCTTGCTGTGTAAGTACGGTAATAAATAATTTACATTCACTGCGTGAAAGTTTAAAAACTTGAAGGAATATTCAGAGGTATTGTCGTATGGGATAAAAAATTCATCGTGCTAATTTTATCCTTGTTGCATGTTCGGGCGATCGGTAGTAGCAGAAACATTGCTTTCATCGCCTCCGGCAGTGTTAGTTTCAATTTCCTGAGGTTCTTGCACACTTCGTCGCTCTTGCTGACGCACCAGATCATAATAGAGTCCACGTTTAGCCATTAACTCTTCATGTTTGCCGGACTGTGTCATATCAAAGAGAAATAATTAGGTTAAAAAAAAAGAAATCTTTATTTCATACACATACCTCCACGATACGACCATGTTCCATCACAACAATCAAGTCAGCATTCCTTATGGTCGAAAGCCGGTGTGCTATTACCAAGGTAGTTCGATTAAGTACCGCTGTATCTAAAGCTTTCTGTACTTCGGCTTCACTTGTAGCGTCCAGTGCACTGGTGGCTTCATCTAATATAAGAATTTTTGGATTTTTAAGCAACGCACGCGCTATGGCAATTCGTTGTCGCTGACCACCACTTAATTGTGTGCCGCGCTCGCCAACATTCGTATCGTAGCCATCAGGCAGCGCGCTAACAAAGTCATGTGATTGCGATAGTTTTGCAGCAGCGTAAATCTCTTCATTTTTAGCGGCTGGTCGACCGTATCTTATATTCTCCAATATGGTTGTGGCAAATAGTATTGGTTGTTGTTCGATGAAACCGAGCACATTGCCGCGCAGCCAATATGGCCCAATATCAGATAGTTTGTAACCATCCAGCTTAATATTACCAGATGTTGGCTCATAGAAGCGTTCCACAAGCGCGGCAACAGTTGACTTACCAGATCCTGAAGCGCCGACAAGCGCCACGGTTTCACCGGGACGCAATATTAAGTTGAAGTCTTTCAAAACCACCTATTGGGAAGTAATATTTGATAAATTATATATATGAAGCACAATTTGTTATTATTACTTACATGATCTGGTCTCGAAGGATATGCAAATGAAACATTTTCAAATCGAATTTCACCGTAAAGGTGCTTTGGTGGAATCTCATAGCCTCTTAACAGTTCCACTTTAGGCTGAAGTTGTAAGTACTAGAAAAACCCAGCAAACAGTAATAATAAAAGTTAACCTTTCAAGGCAACTAAAATTAATTACCTCAAACACCCGCGAACCAGCAGTCATGCCACGTATCATAGTGCCTAACAATATCGACCCTTGAGCCAACGAACGTTGCACACCTTGAGATGCAACCAGGAAAGCCATTAAAGCGCCTGGTGAAAGGCTTTCGGTGGACATCAGATGGCCACCCATGAAAAGCGTAGTCAGGACCAAACCATTGAGGAAGAAGTTAGTCAGACCTTGGAATATAGCAATGCCATAACCGAGCTCTTGCGCCAATCTTGCTGCTTCATTAGTTTCGCATTTGAATAGCTCCATCTCACTATACTCACAAGCGCTTGAACGCACGGTACGTATATTGGACAAAGCTTCCTCACACACAGCTGTAGCACGTTCCGACTAAGAAAAAGCATTTTCAATTTAAAAAAAAAATCATCTTCACACTTCGCTAAAGAATTTTACCTGAGCTTGTGCATCCTTGCTCAAATTGCGTAATTTCCGCCCCAGATATGACATGAAGGCCACAACTACAGGTACAGCCGCCAACGCGATTGCTGCCATATGAGGTGATATCAGAAACAGTGATACTCCGCCGCCCACCAATTGAGCCATACTGCGCAGACCTTGCGAGAAGAATTGCTTAAAGCAGGTTTTGAAATCTTGGACATCAGCGGTTAGACGATTCACTAGCTCTCCGGTGCGATTTGCATCGAAAAAGCTAATATCTTGCAAAATGATCTGTTTGAACAGTTCTTGTCGCAGCTTGGCAGCTATGCGTTCACCAACCCGGCTAAGCAGATATATATACACAAATGTAAAGCCCGATTGCAAGAAATACAGGCTGAGCAAGTTACTCGCTGGACGTCGGACATCGCTGAAGAATGAATTGTGGAGCGGGTCCTTCACGTAGGTATTGGCGTAGCGCGCTAGGGTATTGACCAAATCCCCAAGAAGATTTGGAATCCGTATATTGATGAATGCCACAATCAGAGCAGCCTTTGGAAACAAAAGAATTATATATGTTTATCACAACACAGTATTTATGTTTGATATTTTTAGCAAAAATTTAAATAAGCAAATTGGTAACCATATATGGAAAGCAATTATTTATAATCAATTCAAAGATAATCAACAGCCGATAATGCCTTAAATCGATGGTATTTCTTTTAAATCACCGTCTTATCAAATCCATTGATAAAATACCTCGACGACCGTGAGTTATGATACCACCAAAAACTATATAATATTTATAGCTATATTCACAACATATCCTTACAGCAATAGCACCGAGCAACTCCCACAAGTGTGGCTCCAAGTAGGCCCAAAACCGGCGCCAATCGAATTTGTTATCTTCCTGTTGCAGTGTTTTCTGTATTACACCTGCTAATCTATTGCTTTCACATTGCGCTTGCCGCGCGAAAGCTAGATATGTGCGTAAGCCCAACCCCAGTGTGGCGCCACAGCCGCTTAGTAATATGAGGCGTGTGTTTAATATTCGTTTCCCTCCCGTCTCCGCCACTCTTCTCGCCTGCTGCTCTACTACGCGTAGGAGTTTGTTTGCATTTTTTAAATGACCGCTAAAATCGCGTATGCCATTGAGTTGTGTTTGAGGCACTTGTTGGAATTTGGGCAATTGCTGTGTTAAATGGCGACTATAAAGTAATGACAATACAAAAAACAAAACGGATAAAATTCACTTAAAATATCATTTAGCAAGTTGTAATGAAAAATGACATAATCACACTTGTGAAGCGCCGCTTTGCACTTTGAATTTGTATAGTCATACTTGCAATTAGTTGCTAACAATCGAATCATATTCGCTACGCCTTTTAGCTGCTAATTATATGTTTTTTATGAAAAAGCCTCGGTTTGCAATGAGAAAAGAACCGCAAAGAACTTAATTTTTTGTCGTTAAATTAATTATAAAACAGTCTGCAAACACCAACCAGGAAACCTGGTTAAATTATTCGCCCACCCAACGTGCAACAAAATCCACCCCACAGAAAAAAGCTGAAGAAATGTGAAAAAACCAAAAGCAAAATAAACCTATAGCAAAACCAACAACCAATTCTGCTCAGCTGCTCGATACAGCCTTGCCACCTTTACTGTATTTTGTATATACAAGGTTGCAATGAACACGAACTTCTGGCATATTTACCACAGATGGCGCTGGTTAAAGAGGAAGCAAGAATCGGTTAAAATGTAAAATCAGTAAGGTTAAATCAATTTTCAAAGAAATGTTTTGTCCGACTTCTGGCGACGTCATGGCTAGCGGTTCTATTGTCATAAGAAGAAAAACTTCTGTTCGAAACAATTAGCGGTCGTAAACAGAAGTTTATTAATTTATTAAAATCGTAGGTTTTTTACGAAAGATCATTTGACTAAGAATCATTTCTTATAATAGGTGTATTTCTCTACAACATACTTACTTACTTAGATAGCTCACTTAAAATTGATCGAGCGTCGAAATCCATTTGACACTCGATTTATAGACTCAGAGCCAAAAAAAATTTAAATGTAGACTACCTGGCGGAAGAAGTGGTGCGTTCAACTTGAATACGTTCATTCAGATAAGATATAAAAGAAGACTATACTCAGTATTGGTTCCAGTTTTTATGAAAACCTTTTTGATATCGTCCATCATCCACGAAAGAATATAATTTTCCTGCCTGGAATGTGGTATTTGTAATAAGCCGAATACTTTCGGACTTCTCACTGACCTCTTAAAACTATTTGTCAGAAATTAAAAATAAGAACCGCTGTCGTTTATGTCGTTTATGAGTTCAGACCAATTGTTATAAATTATACCATGAACAAGCTATATTAAGTTTGCTATGATACTTGTAATGGCCGGAAGGTAAAATCGTAGACCTCATAAAATACATATTCGAAGATTGTCCTTTATCTTTCGGGAGAAAAGAGCGAAAAGATGATTAATGCTTGTGAATCATCAAAAATTGCTTTATGGTTTTTCAAAATGTTCTCCATTAAGATCTATACACTGTGCATGGGTTGGAAGCAATTTGTCGAAGCACTTTGATCACTCTGATTGAGGTATCTCCAAAATATGCGTTCTAAATGCATCAACCGCCTCATCAGGTGTCACCAAACGCTACTGTTCTGTATTGTTGTAGTAGTATAGTTGTGATATGTCCTGCTTTTCCCAAAAAATGGGCAACTTTACGCTACCTACTTAAAAAAAAAAACACAGACATTTCAAATTTAGTGGGAATGTTTTTTATCATTCGAAAGAAAATTCTTTGGCATTTATTTTTTGAAGATAACTTTTTTTAAAGGATGGCCGCGGCTACGTCTCAGATGGTCAATTCGTTGAGTTGAATTTTCGTTGACTCGTTCGAGCATGTCGACTGCTAACTGGCGAAAGACCCGCGAGATGTTTTGCTGCAAGGCTTGAATCGAAACGAGATTATAGACTTTAGACTTTACATATCCCTACAAAAAAAAAAAAAATCTAAGGTCGACTTTGGCGGCCAATCGACCGGCCCAGAACGTGAAAATATTTACTCACCGAAATGTTCTCTCAATAAATCCATTGATTGATGCGATGTGTGGGTAGTGACTTTGAAAAAATCACCTCTACTTGTATCACTTGTTATTTGTTTGGAAGTGACATAAATTGTGACCCCTCCAGTATTTTCGAGGCCTAAAAATCTTGCGTGTTTTCCTTCGGCTCCTATACACATGATCTTAGTGATCATGCATGCTCCTGACGCTTTCCATCTCTCCATGACCCGTCTGTTAGCTCTATCCGAAATTTTTAACGGCTGGCTCTCATGAAATAGATGATTCGGTAGTCAAGCGAATTGACTCGCTCTTGGAAATTTCATCCGCTATTGCGTTTCCCGAGCACCCTTGTGACCTGGGAGTTCCAGACTAGAACACGATATATGTATATGTATGCAGCCGTTTCCGACAGTCACTATATCTACTGTCCCCTGCCTTTAAAGACTTTCTCTCCGGGTTGAGACTGACGTATATATTATATATTGATATTGATCATTCTCTGCGTTGTTAGCTATCTCACCAACTTGCCGGCCGCAGAGTCTTCTGCCTGAAAGATATTTCAGTATTCTGGTAGCTTGCACTGTCGCTACGATCGAAATTGGCGTCACTAAGTGAATTTTCCACAAGAACCTTCTGACATATGTATGTAGCTCTATTGGCAGGGTGTCGGTGGATAAAATATTCCACAGCTTTATATGGGAGAGAATCATTCAAGTCACGCTAGAGGAGGATGGATGATACAGGAATGCACGAACCAGCAGCGGGTCATCAATCAAATGCCCCGAAACCGACAACTTTTGCCAATAGTAGAGAAATGGTGTTCTATCAACAACGTCAAGCCGACAGTGATTCGACAGATGCTTCATTTGGAGGTTACTATGCATCCTCCTTATAGACGGTTTCTGTCTGTGACCACTGGTTTTTATGGAAAAAGGTTCTCTCCAGACAAGCTTTTGAAAGTCGACTGTCCGAGTGGTTTGGCAATAGGGACGCAGGTTTCTTTGAGAGTGGCATTATGAAACTATCTGCTGCATTGCAAAAGGTTATCGAACGAAACGGTCCATAAATCGTAACTACAGGGATGCAAAAAAAACAAAAAAAAAAGCTTCAATTATTGCAAAAATAATAGATTTTTTTCTTTTTTTTTTTTACTGACCTTTAAGCCTATAAACAGTTACTATAGGGAAATAACTTATCTGTGGTCCCCTCAGTGTGATTATCTGTTTTCTTTTTTCTACAATCATTCTAACACCGGAAAGCATAATAATACCGTTATCTGTTAGTAGACATGTGCACATGTGTGTGTGTGTGTGCTCTCTTTTATGGACAAAATATTTGCGCAGAGCGATAAATCTATTAAGTGCGAAATGCATTTCCCTCACAATAATAAAATGCCGAAAATGTCACAGACACTTAACGAAATTCGCAAAGTAAAAATTGAAAGGCACGCTTTCAGCACACACACACACACACACACGCACACACATACACATACGCATTTTGAGTATATATATGTGGGCGTGTATGTGAGGCGCGCATAACTGACATACTTTATGCCTTTATTTAAAGCACAATAAATGCACAAAGTCATAATGGCACGATCGTGTGAATGCCTGTGTGTGTTCTTACATATATACATATGTGTATTTATATGCACAAATGTGTGCAAAGAGAGCTTGTGTTTGCGTTTGTGTTTGTGCATGCGTTGAGTGGCGAAATTTATGGTCGAAGCCCATTTTTACAACACTGCCGCATACAATAAACAAAATAATTTTAACCCAATTAAGCAGTGTGCACATAAACAGGCGCTTTACGAGCGCAAACGCAAACAAACGCACACTAACACACAAGTAATGGCATTAAAAAGTCATATATACATTTGGATGCAAACAAAGGAACAAAAGCAGTTCCGAAATATTGTTTTTAGGGGACGCATTTAAGTTTGGTAAAGCGGTGAGGTCTTAGCATGCTATTGTATGATAGAACCACCAGATGTGATCTGCTGACTGATACCCATAGCATACTAAAATTATGGAGCGAACACTTCTCCAGCCTGTTGAATGGCCTTGCATGTTATGCTTTGATGGTGCCCTGAGATGGTGAATCCCCCATTCGATGACGATGAGCGGACGCTCCATTGCCCGACCATGAAGAAGTTCGAATAGCAATTACCCGTCAACAATAAAGAAAGAACAACAAAGCAGCGTTGGATTGCTGGCCGAGCTAAACATGGCGGCGAAGAACTGATAAGGCGCATACATCAACCCTCCCACAATTTGCGCCAATTACTGTGGAATAAGCCTCCTCAACATCGCGTATAAGGTTCTTTCGAGCGTGTTGTCTGAAAAGCCCATCGTCAACAAACTGATTTGACCTTATCAGTGTGGACTCAGGCCTGGAAAATCAACAACTCACCACATATTCACTTTTCGTCAATTTTGAAGCTGCTATTGACGGCGCGAAAAGGAGATATCTTTATGACGCTGTGTCTGAATTTGGTATCCCCGAAAAACAAATACGAATGTGTAACTCCGTCAGAATCGGAAAGAATCTCTCCGAGCCATTTGATTCAAAACGAGGCTTCAGACAAGGCGACACTATCGTGTAAATTCTTCAGTCTACTGTTGGAGAAAATAATTCTGTAGCTCGAAGCTGGTAAATGCCGTTTACATCGATATCATTGGCCTTAGCAACCGCTCCGTGAGATCTGCTGTCTAGTTGGGACAAAGAAGCGAAGAAAATGTGCTTAGACTGAACGAGGGCAAGACGAAATATCATCTCTCATCAAACAAACAGTCGTCGTACTCGACCAAGCATCCACGACAATGTCAACAGTTAGAACTTCGAAGTCGTAAATAATTTCGTTTAGCTTGGAACCAGCATTAAATTCAATGCAGAATAACTCTTGCCAACAGGTGCTACTTCAAAGTGAGTAGGCAATTGAGAAGTAAAGTCCGCTCCCGACGCACAAAAACCAAACTCTATAAGTCACTAATCATCCTCGTCCTGCTATACGGTGCAGAGGTATGGACGATGACAACGTCTGACGAGTCGACGTTACGTGTTTTTGAAGGAAAAGGTTCTGCGGAAAACTTGTGTTCCTTTGCGTATTGTCAACGACGAATACCAATAGTGGATGGAACGTTGAGATCTACAATATATAAGAAGACATTGGCATAGTTAAGGGAATGAAAAGACAGCGTTTAGGTAATGTCCTCCGTATGGATGAAAACATTGCGGCTCTGAACCTTTCGAAGAGGAAGACCTCCACTCCGTTGGAAAGACCAGGTGGGGAAGGAACTGGCTGCACTAGTTATCTCGACTGACGCACTGTTGTTAACTCTCATGTAACCGCGTAAGCGGTGTCTCCGTTAATAAAGAAGAAGAAGAAAGCTGGGAAGCCGATTGTACTTCGATAATGCGTTAAGCGGTTATATCCACTTGTGGTTTTCAAAAAATCGATCTTTTTTGTTTTTGAAAATTTCAAGATGAAAAGTTGGA